TGCAAACAGATTTTTCAAACAATCCATCTTCTTCTAGTTTATTTTCTGTTGTTCTTGTTTAGTTTAAATTTTTGTTGTTATTGTAATGTTGTGTTCCTATAGTTCTTTGTTGTTATTGCTGTTGCTATTTCAGCCATTTATCTTGTATACTTTCAATTTTGTTAGTGTTAGTTTTTTTGTTTATTTTACTATGAATATTATATTCCTCTCTTCACTACTCCTTTTGTTTCCTTGTAGTGTAGAGTTTGAAAGTCCTTTGTACCACTTGCTGTACGCAACAAAACATTTTGTTAAGTCTTTTTTTTATTATAAATAAATGTTCAAACGTTTTTTTATTTTGGTAAAGAAAAATAACAGCAGTCTAAATGTTAGAGATTTTTTTAGAAAATATTTAAAGAAATTTGCAAGGACCTTCTCTGTTTGCACTTCAATAAAGTGAAACTGGTTGATAGCAAGAGAAAGGAATTGTGATGGATGTGAAGTTTTACAAACAAATGTCTAGGACCTGTTTAATCGTTCCATAAATTGCTTAAAATTGAGCTGCAGTTTACAATTGTTTCTTATTTAAGTAATATATGAAGTATTCTTAATAAATTTATTTTATTTTAAAAAAGACTTTTTTTTTGTAAAACACAAGTTTAAGAGATAAATGTTGACGTTTTTCACTTTCTATTTAAAAATACGTTGTTTGGTTAAATTTGCAAATCGTTAGATTTATATCTCATTTAAAAAATGGATTATATTGTGATACCTGGTTCCTTTTTGGGATTTCCTCCTTTGTATTATCTTAAGCGGTCTTTAGGGGATTTATTATACACATAAATATTTGAAATCATTTATTTTACTTTAACGTTTTTCTTCTGTTTTTTCATATTTATAGATTATTTTGTTTGTAATTTATCTTGTTTTTATTTCGGGATTTTTGTTGTAAATCTCTGTATGTATTTAAGTTGTTTCAAAACTATATTTTTTATAATATGGGTTTTTGTTTATTTTTCTTTTTAATAAAAAAACAAAAAATTAATATGATGGTGTAAATATTTTACTAACAAACAAGCGATTTATGAAAGGTAGTGTTGTGATATTTAATCAAACCGATACATGCATGTACTATACCCTGCAGTTCGAAGTAGTTGTCCTTAATAAAAGAATTTACATGCTATATTTATGGACAGTAAAATTTCGATAAACTCTTCTACACAGAGGGAAAAAGAAATATACACGCCTGGTACCAAATTGACACCAAAGATTTTATAATTTTTCAATAACATCCGTTGTCAAAGTATATTCATACGTACGACAACTCTATGTAACGTTGACAACGTTGCGTTGGCAATGGATTGTTTGTCAATAGTGAGCTTACCACCTTTGTTAACATTTAGACAACGGATGTGTATAAAATTTAGATTTCGACAACGAATTGTTGCAATATTGTCAGCATTACATAGTGTTTTGGTACGTATGTATATACTTTGACAACGAATGTTATTGAAAAATTATAAACAGTTTGGTGTCAATTTGGTACCAGGCGTGTATATTTATTTTTCCCGCTGTGTATAGATTCCTTCTGTTAAGTTTAATAGCAATGTATGTACTTTCTAACACGCAGGTGACTACTCATTAGATTTCTAAAAGACGCTAAAGAGGTTAGTCCTTGACTCCTTGTAAAACTGCAGGATAATGCTAAAGAGCACAAAAACTCACATGTCTACACTTGATAAACTTTTAAATAAATTTCTAAAACAAACATCAATCTAATCATACAAATACATTCTTACAAACATAAACCCAACAAACACTAAGGTTTGAATAGAACTTGAACTCCTACTAGGGTTCTATAGTTAGAACACAAAACAGACTTTCCGACTTTTTACAATTTTTAAATTGTGGACTTTTTGAGTTTTTTTCCACTTATCGAATTTATTAGATTTTTTTTTTCGAATTTTATTTACGAAGTCGATTTTTCGACTTTTTTCCTAAAAGATAGTCAGTCGACTTATCGACATTTTCTTTAACAAGTTTTTCCGACTTTTCGACCTTTTCCGAATAATCGAATTTTTACAACTTATTTCGTCCTTTTAGATTTTTATTTACAAAGCCCACTTTGGGCTTAATGTTTGTTTGTTAGGAAAACGTGCAAATCTTTCAAAACTGTTAAAAAAAGCATAAAAGGAAAATATTTAAATGATGAAGCAAACAAAAGTTTGTATTTTTTAAGTTTACATATGTACATAACATACGAGGGCAAAACAAAAAATTAACTAAAAATCTAGTCATATTTAAAAAAACGTGTTAGTAATATGTCTTTCAAATGGTTTCAAATGTTAAAAAAGTCCTTTACATCGTCCTTACATCGTGACAATTTTGTTATTACTATATTTCGTTTAGTTACATTGTTGTTGTTATTTTTATGCTTGCTAATATTGTTGTAGCTGTTGTTTACCAAAAAAAAAAACATATATAATAAAAACAACAAGGAAATAGATGAAGTTTAACAAACCGTCAACCAGAACAAGAAGACAATTTAAATAAATATTTTTTTTGCTGTTGTTAAAACAACAAAAGTTAAAAAAACATAATATTTTTTTAGTATAATAAAGCATTTAATGTTATTTTGCAAAATACACAAAAACACACACACACTCTCCCTAGCACATACAAATATAAACAAAGTAATCTACACACACCCATTTGGGTACAACCCACGCACCTCTGTTTTTATCAGTTAACCGGCACAAACTAACACCCAAGCACACATACACACACTTTACAGCTTAAAGCGCCTGAATTTGTTAAATTTATGTTTTCATTTAATTCACACACATACACACACCTTAGAAAATACATAGGTATAGGTTTGTAACGGTATGTATTTATGTCTGTAAGTAATGTAAAGACAGGATGTAAGACGGAAGTTGTATATTTCCATTTAAGCACAGATCACAGATACTTTTGTAGCTCTTTCCTCTTTGGGCTGTGTAAAGAGACTACTTCTGCTGCCTAGGGGGGCTTATTTAAATTTATATAGAGATTGATAAAGAATTTAAATGATAAAGATGTGTGTTTTGTTTGTCAGTTATCAAAGAAAGGAATCCTCATGTTGGTGTCTTATATTTTAAGGATGTTTAAATTTATATAATTTTTAATAATTATTTTAAGATATTCGAAAGGAAAATGTCTTCAAGGAATGATTAATGGTGAAACACTTTCTGCGTGTTATTGGAAGCAGAAAAACGAAATGCAAAATCTTTACAGTGGGAAATTTATTTAAAAAAAATTTTACAGACGAGTCTATAAAGTCAACTATAGACTCGAATGCAGACTCGTCTGTAGAGTCGACTATAGACTCTTCTATAGAGTCGACACCTCTATAGACTCGTCTATATAGTCGACAATTGACTAGTCTACAGAGTCGACTATAGACTCGCCTAAGCAGTCAAACATTAACTCGTCTAGAGAGCCGTCTATTGACTCGTATAGAAAGCGACTATAGACTCGACAAAAGAGTCTATAGATTCGACAATTGACTCGATATTGAGTCAACTATTTATCCGTCTATAGAGTCTATCATCATCTATACACACCTCTATAAAGTCGACTATAGACTAGTCTATATGGTCGACTATAGACGAGTCTATACAGTCGACTATTAACTCGCCTATAGAGTCGAATATAAACTCATATATAGAGTCGAATATAGACTCTGCTAGAGAGTCGGCTATACACAGAGGGAAAATGAAATATACACGCCTGGTACCAAATTGACACCAAACTGTTTATAATTTTTCAATACCATCCGTTGTCAAAGTATATATGTACATACGTACGACAAACAATCCGTTGCCAATAGTGAGCTTACCTCGTTTGTTAACATTAAGACACCGGATGTGTATAAAATTTCGACATCGAATTGTTGCAATGTTGACAACGTAGCGTTGTCAACATTACATAGTGTTGGTGTACGTACGTATATACTTTGACAACGGATGTTATTGAAAAATTATAAACTCTTTGGTGTCAATTTGGTACCAGGCGTGTATATTTCCTTTTCCTCTGTGTAGAGCTGATTATCGACTAGTCTATAGAGTCAACTATTGACTCGTCTAAATACGTCTATAGAGTAGACTCATCTATAGACCAGTCTATAGAGTCATCTATAGACCAGTCTATAGAGTCAACTAGACTAGTTTGTTGAGTCGAATATAGTCTCGTCTTAGGGACGACTCGTCTAGAGACACGTTTAGAGAGTCGACTATAAACTCGTCTATAAAGTCGGCTATACACTACTATTTTATTGACACTATTCGACTATTTGTCTAAGTGGGCTCTACTATATGCTCGTCTATAGACTATATATTCATATATAGTCTATACTATAAATAATAATCAATCAACATTCCAAAAGCTCTGCCAACTACGTTCGTTTCTAATTTGAAGTTTTCTTTCTTTAATCTACTCACTTTATATTTAATACCCTTACCCAACCCTTTATAAAACTAATTTCATGGCTTAATCTCTTCGCTAACATTACTGACCGCATAAAACTTCAGCAAAAAAAAAATTGATTTAAAATATTAAGAAATAACTTTAGCAGTTCAGCTTGAACACAAAAGCTTAAAGAGTCTTAAAGCAAACTTATCTCTTCAACATTTATATATTTATATAAAAAAGCAGCAGATACATATACATATTTTTGACTTATTTTTATTCCCCTCATTGCACATTATTTATTACATACAAGAAAATTTACATCCCCAGCATTTATTCTTCGAAAAAGATATAAAACAAATGCTAAATGCCTGGTTTGTTGGCTGTTTAGCTCAAACCTTTAACCCTCAGTTTATGAGTTATGGATTGTCGTGTGCTGGGGTTTTATTCTATGTGTGTGTGTGTTTTTTTTGTAATATTTCCCTACAAATAAATCAAATAATAATCAAAATTCTATTGTATGTAGTAATAATAATATTTCGTTTGTTTGTTTCCTTTTGTCTATTTTGCAGATACTACATCGTTTGTAAGTTTGTTACTTTTTTTCCTTCTCCTAACGCTACTGCTCCTTCCTTTACACTTTGGACTCTTTGTACGTGTGTCAGCCAACCAACCAAACAACCAGTCAAGCACAAACATCTCTTTCTTCTTCATTCATTTATAATCTTCATCTGTAACATTGTTTAAGGAAATGTTTTATAGGTATGTATGTTTGCATTTTTATTATTATAAATAGCCCTGCAGTTCGTGATTACTGGCTGACCCGAACTAGTGATATTATACATTACCAAGGAATAGCTATAAGACTAGTTTTTTTGTGCTTGTCTTATGAGATAACTAAGTTTCGGTAACTTTAAAATAACTTCTCTATACATACCAGGTAGCCCCTCCAAAATTACTGGGTATATGTGTATTTTTGTATCTGTGTGATTATAAATCTATGACTTTATTATTAATCTACATGTATGTGTTTATGTTTAAATCTAAGATTTTGTGTGGGTGTGTTTCTGTATTTGAGTTTATGTTTGTGTGTGTTCGTTTTTATAATTAACTATCTTGTCACTGTGACTTACTTTTTGTTAAACGTGACATGTATATATTTTACTTAAATTATTTTTTTTTGCTGTCATCATTTCTGTTATGTTACAATACGAAAGTATGTAGTTCTGGTTATGTTACTTTATTGTTATTTTGTTTCAACATTTTATATCACTTCATTATTGTCTTTTGAGGCAGTGATTCCCAAAAGGGGAAACAATACGATGTGATTAACTAAACTCTCGACTTTAGATTTTCGACTAAGTAAAGAATTGCTTATAGACTGGACTAATAACTGGACTATAGACTTAGTTAAAAACTCGACTATACTCTCAACTATACACAGGAATACTGACACGACTTTTGACTAGACTGTAGACTGTACTAGAGATTATAAATTCCACTGTAGATGATTTAGACATAACTATAAGCTAGACTATGAACCTAGACTATGGCCTAAAGTCATAACTTTAAAGTTGACTATAAACTCGACTATAGTCTTGAGTTTAATATATTGTAAGTCTCTACAATATCCTAGACTATAGCCTCGGCAGTAGACTTGACTGTAGGTTTGAATATAGTTTCAATTTATAGACTAGACTATATATTTGATTATGGATTAAACTGTAAATTAGACTTGACTATAGACTAGAGTATAGTCTCATCCATAGCCATGCATATTGATCTGATTATTGACTGGACTATAGAGGTAACTATAGACTTCACTATAGATTACAGGTTAAACTGTAGTCGTCGCGATTGTAGACTATAGACTCGAATATATTCAAATATAGTTTTGCCTATTGCCTCGACTAAAGACTCGACTAATATACTCGATTACAGACTACTATAGTTTCGATAATAGTCTTAGACCCGACTAATGTCTCGATTTTCGTCTTAACTACTAACTTGTCTATAGTATAGACTAGACCAGACTATAGACTTGCCTATAGAATATTCTTAGACTTGAGTTTAGTTTCGAATATAGGCTGGAATATTGATTTGACAACAGTATTGACTACAGACAATTTTGACTGTAGGCTTAACTCGATTATTGGCTACAGACTAAGTATGAACATCGGTTATAGATTCAAGATCGACTATTAATTCAAGATTGACTATTGATTCTATAGTAGAGATTATCCCTGCAAAAAAAGAACTTCCGAAGAAGCGACAAAGAAGTAGAATTTACTCCATGGAAGTACTGAAAAAGAGATGATTTTAACAAAGGCTTGTCATAGGGATGTCCTTTTTATTTGATTCACTACACTTCCGAAATCATTCTCAAGAAGTAATTTTTATGCTCTTTTTTGGAAGTTATTCGGAATTGAAATTGTATTATTATAGAATACAACTAATTTGACTTAAATAATATTAACATTAATGAGGGTAATAGATACAGAAGCCTAAAAGTAAATTTTTTTATCTCCCAAAAATGTAAGAAAAAAAATATCTTCAGCATTGAAGAAATAAAATTATTTTCGCTTCTTTGGAAGTCATTAAACATCATTTCCACAGAAGGTTAAAAAATTCACTAATTGCTGCTTTTGAAGTGGTGATAAATACATACTTCGCTTTATTTTTGCTGGGTATAGTCAAAAGACCATTATTGCAACTATAGTTTCAGACTCTCTGCTTTCGTTTCTTTCACACTCTTCTTCTCACTCCCTGTAGTATTTTGTGTGATTGTAGTTAAATTTTGCCTTAAACTTAATCTTGTTATAAAATAAGTGAACAACTACAACAACAACAAGTAGAAAAAAGAAAACAAAAACAGCAACAACAACATAAACAATAACAACAATTCATAATTCATGGTGGCTTACTTTTTAACAAGAAAAATGACAACAACGACAACAACAAAAAGCAGAAGAAAACATAAAATATAAAAAAAGGAAACAGACAAAATATTTATAACAACAAAAAAAAAAAAAAAACAGCAACAATAACAATAACGACAATAATAATAAAGAAATACCACACTAAACATTTTGAAATATTTACAACTTTTTACCACCATCAGCAACCAGCATCATCATCATAAAATACTGAAGAACAACTGCAGAAAAAAAAAACAACACAAACAAAGAATAAAATGAAATATTCGTTAGTAAAGGAAATAATGAAGATCTCTGAAAAAGGAGGGGGAGCAACACCAGTCCACTACAAACAAGTAAATGAGGTAGTTTAGTAAAAAAGTTAAGGGGGACAGTAGGTTGAAGTTAACTAAAAAACTAGCAAGGGAAAAATCTATTTAGTCATGGTCAGGTTGCTGTTGTTTCTCATACCATCTTCCCCCATCCACCGCTTTTCTAACTTGAGTTTTTTCGCCATTCCTTAAGTTTGAACAGGAAACGTGTAACAGCAAAATATTGACAAACTATTTAGTGGCCGTTTAGTACGTGTTGGTAATGAGTGCGACAGAGAGAAAGGAAAACAAAACTGTCAAAATGTGTTCATTATGAAATTCAATTGACAGTTTTTCTCGGTATTTTTTTTGAACAGATTTTTTTTATAAAGTTTTATAATTAAAGACATTGAAGTGGTAAATTATTGTTTATTGCGACAAAAAAGTTTTGCGGGTATAAAATTTTTGAAAAATGAAAAACTTTTGCATTTGATATTTTTATTATGGAAATGTTTCAGTAACAAAAAAATTTGTTGCAGTTGTAAAAAATATAATTTTTTTAACATAATGGTTTTGTTGTAAATTAAAGATTAATGTTATATTCAGCAAAGATTTTAGAAGCTATTTAAGGCTAATACAGTAGCTTCTATAGCTCTGAATATAGCCGAGTTTAATAAAAACAATACAGTTGACTATTATGGAATCAAAACCATAGTCCTGTATGTCAAGACTCTAGTCCAGTCTATAGTCGAGACTATAGTCCAGTCTATAGTCAAGACTATAGTCCAGTTTGTAGTCAAGACTATAGCCCAGTCTGTAGTCAATACTATAGTCCAGTCTATAGTCAAGACTATAGTCAAGACTATAGTCCGGTCTATAGTCGAGACTATAGTCGAGTCTATAGTCGAGACTATAGTAAAGTCTATAGTCGAGACTATAGTCGAGTCTATAGTCGAGACTATAGTCCAGTCTATAGTCGAGACTATAGTCGAGTCTATAGTCGAGACTATAGTCCAGTCTATAGTCGAGACTATAGTCGAGTCTATAGTCGAGACTATAGTCCAGTCTATAGTCAAGACTATAGTCCAGTCTATAGTCAAGACTATAGTCCAGTCTATAGTCAAGACTATAGCCCAGTCTATAGTCAATACTATAGACCAGTCTATAGTCAAGACTATAGTCCAGTCTATAGTCAAGACTATAGTCCAGTCTATAGTCAAGACTATAGTCCAGTCTATATTCGAGACTATAGTCCAGTCTATATTCGAGACTATAGTCCAGTATATAGTCGAGATTATAGTCCAGTCTATAGTCGAGCTTATAGTCCAGTCTATAGTCGAGACTATAGTCCAGTCTATAGTCGAGACTATAGTCCAGTATATAGTAGATACTATATTCCAGTATAGATATAGTAGAGACTGTAGTCCAGTCTATTGTCGATACTATAGTCCAATCTATAATTGGGTTTTGTGGTTAGTGTTCTAGTCTGTTGGAATAGAGATCGTGGGTACCATTCCCACCAGGGACACTGGTGAAGTAGCGAACAACAGGCGCTACTATGAATATATATAGTCAAATTTATAGTCGTGTCTAATCGAGTGTTTAATATCAGTTTTTAGTCTTCACTTTGGCGAAAAAAATTACTAAAAAGTCACTCAACACCTCCTATATGTCAAATAAATTTAAACAGTTTTATTAATTGTTTCAAATACTCACTTTAACAAGTACAAAATAAATTAATTTCTTAAACTCTATGGCAAATGTCCATCATGGCTTTGAAATTTCTGTCTCTTACTCATTCGTTGTCAAATTTCAAAAGAGGCGTTTGAAAACCGTTATAATAAAGGGGCTCCATTTTGTTGAAGTATAAATATGAAAGTTTACTATAATTAAAATATTATGTTTCATTTCTATAATCCAAATTTATCATGTTTCTAAATTCTATAAAAAAAATCAAAACCAATAATCAAATACATATGTATAGATAAGAAAGTGTATATTTAACTTATTTTCAGGTTGCATCCTACTATGCACACATTCGAAATCTAATTTCATTTATTTATTTAAACTGTTTATCATTGATTATATCTCTGATGTATATTTTTTGTATCAAACATACTCACCTGACAACTTTTCAATTTAAAATTAAATTGTGCAAGTGCGAAGGACCATAGAAAAAAACTAGACATGAAAATTATGATTTAATTTAAATTCTTATTTCCTTTTTCATACAATTAAATGCAATTAAATGCCGGCAACAAATTTTATCAAACACTCATACACGTTCGGAGGGATGTAGAAGGAAAAAAATTGTTTATGAAGCACACACACACACAGAATTTCAAATAACATTGTTTTACTCACATTTGCTTACTTTTTTTCTTCCTCTGAGCTGCACTTGCACGCAAACACACAATTTCATCATCAATCATTTATCATCACTTTAAACATCTATCAATGAATGAATGACATTTACAGCACAACACAGTCAGCCAGACACAACCCTAAAAACACTAATCCTTATTCGCACGTTGGG